AATTTACTTATTTAGACACCACACGTATATACTTAGTATTACAAAAAATACACCTTGATAAAAGTTTTGGTGACAGCATTAGGTGACGATTTTGAGTTTTCTACAAGTACCTACTGCCAGTAGTATTTTTTCCGAAGCCCATTGCACCAATCAACCGTATGTTTAAAAGTTTGATAACGTGGATGCCAGCTGATAAAGTCAAAAAAGGTCTTCCGATACCCTTTAGAACACGTTTTAGCAAAGTGTGTGCTATAATAGATTGCTTAGAAATTGAAATCCAAAGGTGAGAAAGTCCAATCAAACAAGCTTTAAAGTGGTCTAATTATAAAAAATGTAATACAATAAAGTATCCAAATCCAATCCGATATCTTCCACACCAGACAGTATGATTACATTTACTTACTCTTTGGTGGTCGTACATCTGATACCTACTGTTATTGTCGCAAAAAGTGTGTTGTTGGATCAGAACAAAAGAACAAAAATAAACTAATAAAACAACACCATAAAACAAAACACAAGGTATACGGTTTAAATGAACACACAGACTACGTGCACGCCGGCGATTCTTGTGACATCAGACAAATCACATGGCAACACGTCAATTTGATCATATTTGAAAACCACATTGTCGCGTACAGACGTGTTTTCAGACCGGCGATTTAGAGCTATTTGGTGGCAGTTTTGAATAAAAGCTTTCGAGATTCCATCGGTCAGTGAAATATTTGACCGAACAAGTGCTTCTGGCTACAAAATATATTGCTTGAAACATCAATGAGCATTGGAAACGTTACTGAATTCGAAGAATGTGAAGAATGAATAATGACTAGTAAAAGTGAACTACTAGTGCGCAAACTTAAAGAATCGCCAGCAGTGGCGACAGATTTTATCCCGCAAACGCAGGGTGAATCAAATTTATGGCATGCATGGCAAGCTGATAAAGCGAACTACAATGCTATATTAACCAATATGCAAGTAAACATAAATATGCTGCAAAAGGAGATCCAACTACTCAAGGAAGCAAACAATTCGAATGTCGATCCGAAGCTGACGTTTACAAGTCCTGCAGCCAATCCACCATCGACAAGCAAGGAAGCCGAATACAATACTGATGATGAAGAAACAACCTGGCAAACGAGACTGAGTGGATTAGAGCAAAGCACAGAACCAAAAAACAAAAATTGAATGTAATATATTCGCCAAAATCTCCCTTAGTTATCGAGAAAGAGACTGCCAATCAAGCAGAGCAAGAAACTAAAAAGGAACCTAAGCCACCCCCTATCATGTTGAAAAATGT